CACCCAAATGCAAAAAAATCAACATTTCCACTTCATTATATAACGTTCTACTAAAGAAAATCTAGGATCACCTGCAAACTCCAGGTGTTATGCATATGGACTAATAATTTAATAACAGTGTAGAAAGACATCAACTACTTTCTACTCTGATGTGTAAACACAGGCATCAACTACTTCCAAGGAATAACTGTAATTAGAGCTACAACAACACAGTAAAACCTAAAAACAGAAAGAGAAAATGAATAAATTCCTCTCACTTGTAAGTTAAATTTCTACCACAAAACAAGGAAGCATGTTATCATAAATTATGATAATTAAATGACAAAATATTGTCATCTTTATCATAGACAACACTTTATTTAATGGTGAATAGACTTGAAAGGGCTCTAATAATCAATCTTATGCCCGCGTTTGTTCTGTGGTATTTCCTTTGTGTGAGAACAACTCACATTAACTTTCCTGTGCTGAGTAAATGTTGAAACAGTGTCAGCTGAGAATTCAGGGAATGAACACACTGCAATGATCATTTGAATCAAACCAAGAAGCAAAACTTGTCTGAAGAAATGTCTACTGACATAAACTCGTGTTCACTTCTGAAAGACAACGTCGCAAAGCCAGAAAATGTGTCGAGCTCCACGTGTCTGGAGGGAGAAGGGGTGCTCTTCCTAGAGGATGAAAAGATCATTTTTCAAATTCGTTTTCTGAAATGATTGTGTCTCTGTTGATGGCTCACATCCCAGTTACTCTTTGTAGCTTTAAAAATAAGTAAGAACTTATGAGAAAAGACATTTTTTTAAAAAATGTGTTACCCTTGTGTTGGCGATTCTTGGAAAGATTTCGCTGCCTCGCTTTCCGGCGCTCCGATGAGCAGGTGTTCCGACGCTATCTGTCGCAGACAGTAGCCACTATGACTCTCCCATCCCCACCTCCCAGGACTCAGGTTTCTGCTTCCAGATGTAAGGCCACTCCTCTCTCCCGCCCACCTCACCTCCCAAAGGAAGAAAAATCTCTTTCAAAAAGAAATTGTGGAGTGGTAGTTTCTAAGCTCAGTCGATTCGCTCACACTCCTCAGTGGCACGGTACAACTGCTACTCATTTTTGTAACTGGGAGGACATAAGGTGTGCAGCCAACTGGAGGGATTTCCCAAGGAACCTCCTACGTTCCCTCTTACGCCTTGCCTTTTGTCATCGGCGCAGTCCCTGTACTGGCTGACTTCACCAGCGCAGGTGAGCAAGTTGCTGACTCCGGGATAAAACATGGACCTGTGGCCAGTGCGCAGTGCCAAGGTGGTCTGCGAGTGTCTTGGGGGGAAGACTTCGAATAAGAAAGCCGCTTTGCGTGCTTGCTGAAAGAAAAGCTAGGTCAAAATATCGGAAGCGAGAATGTAGCCTATCATGTGCTTAGCTCTTTAGAAAGAGCTATGCTGGAGAAACTGCCTTGAAGTTTGGAAAAAAGTTTGGGCTGATGTCTTTGCTTGTGTCGTCCTAAATTGCAAACCAAATAAGGACTCTGAATAAACAGTCTGACTTCGAAACAAGTGGTGGCTTGGGGAGTGATTCCTTGGAGAAGATGCTGACCCATGGCAAAGCCCCTAGATTGCGAAGGGAAGGCCAGCCATCCGCCGAACCCTAGCCAGAGCGGGCTTCCCCAGAGGCAGGGGTCGGAGCAGACCCGGAGAGAAGGGCAGGCTAAAAGGACAAAAGAAGTTCTAGTCTCTCAGAGATCCTGCAGCTCAGAAGGCATACCTCGGAATAGGGAGCCACGCCTTTCGGACGGGAGGATCTCGACTACCCCCCTGTAACAACTAGCAGAGCCCGGGAGGCCGCGGAGGAGAAACCGAGGTGCCTCGTTTACAAGGCACAGGGACGCGCGGCCCCCTTCGGGGAGAGGCCTGGCTGAGGGCTTGCAGACTGCTGGTGGAAAAGCCTGCCCGAGGATGCCTCACTCGATCTAGGGTGGAGGATTCACCCTCTGTCCGAGATGCACCTTGCGTCCCAACAAGCCCGCTGCCTCGGCGCTAGACAGAAGCCGAGCTGTGCAGACCCCGAACAGTAGGGAAAGAAACGGCAGCGACCACTACAAGGAGCTGAGGCTCGGGTCTCTTCCGCCCTAGCTCAAGCTGCCTTCAAAGGTCCCGAAGAGCGTCTAGGGGTAGGGCCAGTAGTTGGCAAATGACTTGTCTCGCGGTGGTTAGGATGGTTGGCTAGGCGCCGGGGGAGGAGCAGGCCTCAAACGCGCCTCCTGGGCAGGGAACCACCAGAATGAGGCGCTCCTAGGCTACTGCACGAAGTTTTCTTGGGCATGGAAAGGAGCTCACAATGCCCAGGAACACTGCGGGGGTCGGCACCGTGAGCTCGGCTGCTTCTCGCTCCACGACGGTGAGCAAAGGATGCCGAGTCGAGCCACAGCCACAGGGGGAGCAGGGCAAAGGACAGCGCCGAGCCCCTGAGAATGGATTTCCGCCACCAGTGGGAAGGGGGGCAGGGGCGGCGCTGGACTCGGCTGCACGGTTGCCATAGCGCCGCGGCGGAGGCGCCGGGCGACTGGCGGCTCTTTGCCTCTCGCGGGGCGGGAGCTCGGCGCTGGTTGCCGCCTCCTCAGCAGACTCGGATTGTCTCACCAGCATCGAGCTGCCTGACGCCGCCCAGGGGCAGCTGCTCCACCCGCACCTCGACCTCTTCCCTTCCAAGGCACCGGGCCAGGGATGAGGTTTTGGTTCCCCTTTTGAACCAAAGTTGAAAAATAACCTTTCTCAAGAGCAGCTTATATGTGTTCAACCAACCATCACTTACAGTCAAAACATGTTTTCCCCAGAAGAAAATAAAACTCCCACCATTGCATCAAAGTCACCCCAATGGGAAATGTTCCAATGATTACAATGTACACAGTTCTTCCTCACAACTCAGGTAAGGAACCAGAGAAAAAGGATTTTCCACAGGGAAGATGTTTTAAGTTAAGAAAATAACAAGATACCAAGGTGGTTACGATCTTTGCCTGGCACCCTGTTTCTTGAAGACATTCTTAGTAAGTCTTGGTCTGGAAAATATAATTTTTTGTGTGTATGTCAGCTCTTCTGGAAAGCTGGTTCAAACTCTGCTACAGTCGCCAAGATATTTAATATGAAGATATGAAATGATCAGCGAAGGTACAACCTAATGATTCAGCAAATACTGTGCTGCAATACCAGAACAGCAGTAATTAAATCTTTAGCGTGCGGGTGACAGTTTTCAGACTCAAAGTCTTCTTTTTATTTTACCCAGTCTGAAAACAAATTTAACCAATATCAACACATATGAATCTACCTTTGCATTCTAAAGAAGTAGTTTGTGCTACTCAAAATATTGGGCAAAACTACCAGACTATGACACTTATGTGCTTGAAGCAGAACTGCTGTACACACACACAAACATACACTCACAGTGATATAGAGACCGGTTTAGTCTCCTTCACAGAAACAAGCATTTCTGTGGACTCTTGTTGCTAAGGGCAACGAACTTAAGTGCTACCTAAAGGCATGAAGAAAACAGGAAAACTACTAGAATTCAGCTATAATCCATTGTCTTTTTTGTCACTACTAGCCTTCTTGACTTGAGGTGTGTTAGGGGGAGGGAGCCGGGGGTCATCTTTTTAATACGTGAAAAGCATCCTTACTCTCTTTGCACAAAGCCTTAGGAAAGATGGTAAATTTTGTTAGAGAAGAAGCTTTTGGAAAAGGAAAGAAGACGCTGCTGTTGACATAATAGGTGTAGGCAATCACTCTTCGATTTAAATTCCAGTTACTTCATGTATGTACTTTTATCTCAAAGACACACACTTGAGACTATATGATTTCCTGCATTTTTGGTCTGAATCCACTTGAACTGTCAGAGGAGTGGCCCACAGTGGGCACACCTACCCTCCTTGGTTTTCTCCTCTCTAGCTCTTATCTACTTTAGAGAACTTTTCCCTGACTAGTTCTGCTCCTACTGAAACTCCATTGGTCATCGAGAGCGTTGCCCACCCTTCATTTTCCCCAAGCAAACCTTTCTGACCAGGGTTCCCAATGGAGTCTCACGTTCAATTTTCCCTGTGAACTCTAGAGAAATCTTGATATCCTAGGAAAAGGACAAATTTCCCTAAAATACAACTGCTAGTTCCGCTCTTTGATCACACCATCCTGCAATAAAGGTGCAGACTTAAAAGACCCCTCCCCCTGGCCACACACACACACGACCCTCCTCGCATCCCTATACCACCGTTAATCATTTATTAGTCCAGGACTAAGTACGAAGGCTGTAAAGGGGAGACTCGTCAAGTTTGAAACAAAACGCACACACAGCCTTCTTATTATGAAGCTATTTCACGCAAACTGAGCGGCAGCCTCTCCTTGTTAAGTCGAGCCTTGAACCTTACGATAATTTTAAAAGCTCTCTTCTCGCCAAGGGCTCTAGGGACTCGGAAAGCGGAGAGATTACTCGAAAAACTCTCTGATAAAAGATATCTAAAGGCTAGCGCCTTCCGCTTGCGCGTGAGGACCTGCCCGTATCTCTGGCGGAAGCGGACAGACACAACTCGCCAAAGAGTTACCAGATATTAACTCTCATCAGCCCTGCGAGCTGCCAGGTATGCAGCCCCCGCGCGCGTGTTTGCGCGGATCGCGCAACCCTCCAAACCCAGAAGTTCCCGGGGAGACCTGCGGGCAAGGCAGCGGGCAGTCCCCAAAGCGTCATCACTGTCAGTAGCAGGCTACTGTGAGGAAGTGATGAGACCACAACCACACATTCACACGCTTTCATCTTCCCGCAGCTAACCATTAAAAAAAAAAAGAAAAAAGAAAAGAAAAAGCAGCAGCAGCAATAAAGAAATGCAGGAGAAGGCTACTTAAAACCCCCGAGAAGCGAAGGAGCTAGAGCAGATTGGAATGCCCGGAGCCCACCGGCAGGCAGAGCGTACTCGCTTGTTTACATCCGGCTGCCAAGGAGCCGAATTCCAGGCGGTGGAGAGGGACGGGGAATCTTACCAAATCTTAATACATGTGTGGTTCCTTGAGAATATCCAATCCACAGTAAGCAGAGCAGGAGTTTAATGGTGCGACTGAAGACTGGATTACTTAGAATCGGGGAAATAATCTTCATGGTGTTTCTGTGCCCACACGCGCGGCACCCACTTCCCCGGTCTAGCGACAGGCTCCCCGTTCGGGCAGGAATGAGGATGCGTCGAGTGGTGGCCGCAGACGCGATCAAGGCATGGTCACAGAAAGAGGAAGGAGTCTCCGCTTCCCAAACCCATTAGCAATCGCTGCATGTTCTTCACTCACTGCGCCAAGGAGCAACCTTCCACTGCAAGGAATGGTGGGACATCCATGTTAGTAGGGGAGCATCCGGGAGAAATCCAGCACGCACACCCACAATGTTCGGCCGCGCGAGCCTAAGGAAGCAAAGGAGGAAGAAAATCAATAGGAAATCCAGCCTTGGAAACGAGGTGTCGATAGGAAACCAAAGTCCCAGCACAAAAGGAGCTTCGCCAGCAAACGTTTTGCCAGGCCCTATTCTACTGCACTGCTGCACAGCTTCTGACGTGAAGCCAAGATTAAGTGAGAAAAATTGAGATAGCTGCTCGCCTCTTAAGGCTCCCTGCCAGCGAGCTTCCCAATAGCTATTATGCAACTGGAGTGATCTCCCGCCTTGGGTTGCAAGAAAGAAAGTCGCGTTTATTTACGTGGAGAAAAATGCTTTTATTTTCAATAAGAGTCCTTGCTAAGAGAACGACTGGTGTGTGCAGGCAGACTTCTTAAAATAAACTGATGAATTTTAATAGATGACTACCTAAGTCGAAGGCACTTTGCATAGGAGTTGTTCAAAACAAAAAGGTCTAAACCAGAGGAATTTGTTTAAAAATTAGGTAGAAAGAAGGTTTATATTTTCATTTCTGCCAGGTATGAATGAATACACACTGGGATGTAATAGGGAAGGTGAATGTTGTCTCCAAAAACTTGAATGAGACATTCCTTGATTACTACTCAAGAGAAAGAAATTTCTTCAAGTGGACTTTCATGGGAAACATTGAATTGAAAGAAATATGTTCCCAGCCATTTTTCAACTTACCTAAAATAATTACGCATATATAAAAGACAACGATGTTTGACTTGGCAACAAACTCCAAAAGCCTCAATAATTTATTCCTGAATATCTTCTCATTTTTAAAAACTTATTTTTCATTAAAAGACAGAATATGAAACCATAGCTTGAGCAACATTGACTGACCTATCTTTGTCTGAAAATGCTTTATCATTTGCTAGTTTTCTGGTGATAATACTTATTTAGAGTCCTTAAGTAGTGACTGGCTTGGATTTTACAATTAGCTATTTATTCAAGAAAAAAGGTACAGAAATAAATTTCCTTTCAACACAAAGTAGTTTTCTTGTTAGAAATAAGTAATATGCTGTCCTTAAGCACACAGATTTTTTTTAAAATGTCCACTGTTAATATTGTACATTAGGAAGTAAAATCAACACAGTAATAAATGTATCACTGTTAACATTTTCAAATGATTAATAAGTACAAAAAAAAAAAAAAAAAACTGCTAGGCCTGTATCTTACAGTTAATCTTTTTTTTTTTTAAATAACTGCCTAACAAGTAATTTTCCCATATGTTAAACCTTTTGACAAAAAAAAATCACACCCTATTGGAAAAATACCTTAATTTTCTAAACAAGTGGTGATATCAATACTATTCGACTCTTTTTATGTTTTCCCCAGATAGCAAGAAAATACTATCATGTTTTCACTTCATCAGAGGGATTTTTTAAATCCTTGTTTTTTTTAAAAAAAAATTATAAGAGAATGCTAGTTTGAAAAGAATCCTACATTTTGCAGACATTAAGTGGCATTTATTTATTCATTTATTTAAGACAGAGGAATAACTGCAGTGTCAAAAGTAAGTATCATGAATGGCTACTTCTGCAGTCTGGCAGGCAATTCAATCAAATAATTTGACTATTTGAACACTTTAAAAGGAACACCTAGTGCTAAAACTAAGGGTATCTAGCGACTCCTTCAGTCCATGTATAAAATATCTCTTGTAAAACATGTACAGCTCAACATGTTCTGTCTTGTATTCAGTGTCTCATTTATTTCAATCTACTTGTTCATTTTGCTTTTGATCCTAGCAGAGAAAATAATGACCATCAGGGTAACAATAAATAAACTGTGTTTTTTTTTATCTGCCAATATAATTGGTATATACTGCCTGAAAATAGCATGTTCTGTTGTGGCAAATCAAAATACTGCAATTTTGCAGTGTAGCTGGCATTTAATGGAAGCTGAGAAAAAAAAAATTCTCAATTATGCATTCTGTTAACATAACGGCATTTGACATTAAAATTGTAATTTATCTGCTAAAAACTAGCATTCCAAACTATTTTGTTTTTGTGGGGTTATTTACTGGATGTCTAGTCAGAAAAGTGAAAGATAAGCTTCCAGATCCATGAAGTTCTTACACAATAAATTGAACAGCAAAGGTCTAGCATAATTTTTTCTTACTATTAATTGGTCTCCAAAGAACCAATTTTGCACAAATGCTAAATTAGGTTCATTTACATTCATCAACTAAGCTGAAAAGCTTCAACTACAGACAGGAAACTGCACCTGTTCAATTGAACTTCTTCAAGACAGGAGACAACCTTTCTTAAGGACCGCGGACAGCGCTCCAGGCATTGATTTATTCTGGAGTAGTACAGTTGAAAGTGGTAAAGTAAGTCCCCAGGTTAAGAACATTGAATTTAAGAGTACTTGCCCTTCAATGTTGTGTAAATTTGCACTTACTTTGAAATGACTGAACCAACTCTTACTCACAACAAATTCTTCATCACAATCACCTTCACTTGCTGCACATGAAGCTTTTAAATCATTGAAAAGGTCTGGAGCTTTTCTTGCACTAAGGCTAAATAAGAACCATATGTATGCACCTGCTCCAAGTTACCTACAAATCAGACTTAAAGGCACACATAGGAGTAGGTCTCGTTCCTAACCCAGGGACTGCCTGTACATGGAATGGGTAATAGGCCATTTGAATTAACAATATGCATACTTCTCCTACAAAGTCAGAGAATTTGAATTATTGCATTGTTCACATTGTCAAGAGGACTACTTTGTCAATTGTGTTGTGTGCATTTCCCAGTATGGCTTACTAGTATTCCTTGGCATACTTAGAATATATTAATACTCATCCTTTTCCAAAGTATATTATTGCCTAAGCCACTTACATTAACTGTGAGTTCCCTCATGAGCACTAAACTACATATTTCTCCATACAAAGTACTGTTTGAAAGACCACCAAGAATTCTGAATACTGAATATTCAATATTGGGTGACTAAAGAGATTTCTAAAATGTACAATTGGGTATTGCCTCCAAATCCTTCACCTCCAGATTTCCATCCACTACAAAGTTGATCAATCAACTCTAATTCTTTTTCATTAAACTTCACCCACTCCTCAGTACAAAATACCTAAAGTACCTCCCCAGTAATACAACAAAATGCTTTGGTGACATAGGAGATATAGTAAGACAATTTTGAAGTTGTTATAAATTTCTCCCCAATAATGATACCATACAGCATAGTTCTGAAAGACTGATAAAGTCATTTTATAGTATTTCACTGACCAGACTTAACTGTCTTTTTTTTTTTTTTTTCCCTCACTTTAACCATACAGCAACCTTTACTTCTAGAAGCCAAAACTCTGTAAGGTTCCAAGGTCAAAGCAGAATTGACAAACTGCAAACACACAGATATATGTATACACAGCTAGCAGTTGTGTTGAAAAGTAAGCTTCAAATAAATAAATAAATAAAAACCCACAGGAGGCAGACATAAATATTAACTTATGGTAAATTAACAAAGAGAAAATTTCATATCATGTTCATATAAAGCTTGTTCAACAACAATAGCAAAACACAAATCCATTAGCTTCATCTTTCACTGTATTTTTATGTTTGCTGACACTAATGATCTCTTGTTTTTGGGCACTACTACTTGAGAAGCAATTTTAGTTTCCTATTCTCCCAGTGAAAATGAATCTTATTCTAGTTAGCTGCCACCTGCTGGGACATGTACAAATGTGTAATAATCCTCACAGCACAACATTTAAAAAGACAATGCCTACACCTTTTTGCAGGACATAGCAAATGCATATCCCAGGACAACCTGAATATCAAAGGTGTTTCAAACATTTTTCCATGCCAGATCTATATTTAATTTTTTTTTTCACTTGGAATTCTTCTAAAGATTCCACTTGTTACTGAAGTCCTGCTGTTTTGTGACATTTGAGAAATCTCATCTTACAGTAACACTTGACCTATTCTTCCATGCATGTGACCTGTTGTATTGCAGCTTAGCTAAAATAAACAGCTTGAGTATCCATGGCATTAAAGGTTTCAGAGAATAAAGTAAGAGCTGATATTAGTTAAGATCCCACTGTTGCACACTTGCACTTCATCCTCTCTAACTGTGAAAACTGTGCCATCCTGTCTAAACACCTATCACCTGTTCCACCAACATTCTGCTACATTGATGATTAACGGCATTTAGAGTCTTAATTAAATTTTAGGTATCCAAGAGAAGTTGATCTTAATTAAGAAATTGAATTGGAATAGATTTACATGTCCTGGAACCTTTATTTATTTATTTAACTGTAGCCTATGCCATAGTCAGTGGGTTTAAATTGAAGGAAACAAACAGATATGACTTCTAAGTATCACTCATTTCTCTACTACTGTCTGATATATTTCTTTTTTATTTGTTTATTTAATAAGTGTCTAAGGTCACTGGAAGGAAGATGATAGCTGCCTTGGTGGTTTTAGGAATTAGCTCTATAAAAAGTTACAAGGTAATGAACACAGAGAAATCAAGACTGAAATACTATCTCATATCTTTCAGCAACTAAGCTACAGACTAATTGAAATTTAAATGAATCAATCATTGTTATGAAATGAAAATAATCATTAATACATAAGGTAATTTCTGATGACAGACTACTTAACAGTATGGAGATGAGGAAAACAATAGAAGTATTCTATGCATACCAAAAGGATAATAGTAGTATGTTTTCTAATACCTCTTTTCACTAAATGGAAATTGCTCTCTAAGGAGCCTCAACTCAGTTGTGTTATTTGGTAAAGAAACACTATCTCATTGAAGGTAAAAATATCAGGGAAGGAAGGTCGTTAAAAGTTCTTGATTGGTTATGATCCACTCTGGTGACAAGCCCCCCACCATCACCACCACCACGACACACACACACACACACACACATACACTTTACCCTAATAGGATGCTCTCTTGAGTTTTTTAGGAGCTCTCAAT